CCCCCCCCCCCCCGTGCGTTTCAGCTGTGGCCGCGATCCCGGCCAGCCAGCGCCCGCGGGCCGGCGGCGCCTGCGGGCAGCTGTGCTGGCGGCCCCGGCCCCGGGCGGGCTGGCTGGGAGCGGGGCGGTCCGGGTCTGCGGGGGGGAGGGGGAGGAATGCGTGTGTCTCCGTGCGCGCCGGATGGCTGCATGCCCGGGATGCCGCTGTGTGTGTCCGTGTGCGTGTGCCTCCGGGCGTGTCTGCTGCGTGCGTGTGACCGCGCGTGTCTGCACCTCCGCGCGACCGGGCCGGTGTCACTGCGTGTCCCGCGCCTCTCCCGCGGGTGTCGGGGGCGGCGCGTGGCACCGCGCGGCTCCGGCGGGTCTGCCCCTGCGGGGTTGCGTGTTGTGTGTGTGTGTGACGGCGCGGCTCTCCTCAGTGTGTCACTTTGTGTGTGTGTGTAACTATCTCTGAAGTCTCGGTATGTGTCATTATCTAGTGTCTGTCTTTGTGTGACTGCGTCACGATCTCGTGTGTGCGCGTGCCACTGTGTGTGTGTGTTGTGTGTGATTGCGTGGCTGGTGTCTGTGTCACTGTGTGTGTATGGCCAACTCTGATGTCTCTGTGCGTGTCACCATCTCCAATGTCTGTGTCTTTGTGTGCGTGTCACTGTGTGTATCGCTATCTCTGATGTGTGTGTGTGTGTGTCGCTGTCTGTGTTCTGTGCGACTGTGTGGCTGGTGTCCGAGTGTCCCTGTGGGTGTGTGACTCTGTTCGGCTGTCTACGTGTCACTATCTCGAATGCCTGTGTGCGTGTGGCTGTGTGTGCATGTCACTGTGTGTGCATTGTGTGTGACTTGCCCTGCGGTTGTCTGTGTGTCACTGTATGTGAGAGAGATTCTGTGCGTCTCACTATCTCTGATGTGTGTCACTGTGTGTATCTGACTGTATGTCACTGTCTCTAATGTCTGTGTCTGGGTACGTGTGTGTGCCACTATCTCTGATGTGTGTGTCCACCAGCGCCGGCCCCAGTGCCAGGCAGGGCAGCCCGCGGGAGCCGGCGGCGCAGACAGCGCAGCAGTCAGCGGCCCGGACTGAGCGCGCCCCCCGCGGGCGGCAGGCACTGGGGAGGGGGCGGGAGACGGACGAGGGGCGGGGCGGGCCGTACCAATACGCCCCGGGGGAGACCCACGG